TCTATAAATATTTTTATATATTATTTTTTATAAATATCTTTTATAATTATTTTTTAAGTCTTCATATATAGGTAATACCAAGAAAAAAACTTGAATAAATATATAAATTGTTTTAGACTAATTAATTATATACTAAACTTTTGTACGTAGAACTATGATTGAAATTAATAACATATTCCTTATTATTATTTAAAATATGAATATTTTTTGTTTTGTTTTACTTATACAGATTTCGTCGGTACGAAAATGTACTAATAATAATACTGTGTATGAAATAATAAGTGGCTATAATGCGACTGAATTTCGTAACTCTGAATTTGACAATTCTAACAATATTGATATACCCCATAATGAACAAATGACAGATACAGTCAAAATAGAATTTACCGAAAATACTTATTTGTCGAGCAGTCATAAAGAGACTTTTCCTTCTACTTTTAAAACTGCATCAGAGATTATAAATGAAGAAAGATTACGAGTATCTATTTTGAACAAGGATAGAAATGCTCAATCTTTAGAATTATTTACTAATAATAATGCACAAAGGAGTACACCCAGAAACGATAAATTACACATGCAAATGTCAGGTTTTGTTTGTGCGCGAGAAATTCACGAGGGCAATATAATTAATTCTAGTATAAGTTCTTCTAAATCAAAAGTTCATAGGAGCAAGACAGATAAGACTGTTAAAAGAACACCTAAAACAGTTTACGAGCAGATTTTAGCACAATCATCAAAGAAGAAGACTACGGAAGAAAGAAAAAATGTTTCTTCTGAAACAGAATTGAAAATAGATAATATTGTTAATTCTATTAAAATTAAAAGTGAAATTAAGAATGAAAGTAAAAATAAAAGAGGCTATGAATACGTTGAAAGTCACGAGGGTGACATAAAATCTCCTAAAAAAAAAAGAATTGTACATGATGATTATGTCGATAAAACTAATGATTATATATCCGATAAAAGGATTTTAGATGACAAAATCATGAAAATGATTAGAAAAAGTACAGGTACAATTATTAATATTAATACTACAAATAATAATTCATCGAGAACGACACAAGATAACACAGGAAAGCATTTTGAAATAAAAACTGATGTAGAATTAAAAAGGAAGGAGAAAATTACACATTTGTCTCGTTCAAAACTTCACAAAAATAGTAGTAGTAACAGACCAAAAGTACCTGCAGACAAAGCTACACAATTTAAAACGGCAGAAATTTTAAAATCATATCTAATGAAATACTATCCGTCAGAACGACTTCCGGATAGGGCGACATTTACGAAAACTTGCAGAGAAATGCATTATGATATGCTGCATAAGAAAATATTTGGTACGAAAAGCTTAAAAATTTATAATATAATTTTATAGAATGTTTTACATTTTAGAACGTTTGTAATTTATAAATGATATTTTTGATTTTAGATAAAGAAGGAATACACGATTTTGTTGTAAATTTTATGAGTCAGTCTTAAATGTGTTTATTTCACGTTTACGTGCTCCTACTATCTGCTGAGTAAGTGATAAGAGTAATATACTACTTATAATCAATATATTTAATTATAAATAATTTTTTCTATATATATTTACGACACTTCATATTGTATTATATTTTTTATTATGTATGATTGTATGTATTCATAGAATTAAACAAAACCAACTCTTAGCAGTTTTTGTTGAAACATGTGATTTTTTTGATTATGACTTATTTTAATATTATTTATTCATAAAATGCAAAGGATATTTTTGGAAGAGAAACAAATTTTGTATAATATCTATATATATATATATATTTTTTTTATTTGCTTAATTATTACACATCTGATGGATTTTTTTTTATTTAATTTATATCATATTTCATAAATCTAAAAAAGACGTTTTCTCAGAAATTTGTCGTACCCGCAAATAATATTACAAAATTTAGACTTATTTCTAAGTATTTTATTAAACATGTAATTGTGAGAGCACATTCTTAATTATATTATATTTATTTTTCTATAATATATTTATAATAAATAAGGCAAGATATTTTTCAGAGAAGAACTTTCTCGTAAATATTGTTATACTTATATTTATGATTTATACATATACATATTAAAAAAGACTTGTTTCTCCCTTATGATCTACACTAAATATAACTTTTGCTCCTTTATGGTGTCTAATTTTCTTGTTTCTTATAAAAAATAAATGTATAACAAATTTGTTTCTTTTTACAAACAATAAAGATATATACGATTTTATCTGTTTTTTTTTTCATTTCGTTTCTAGTATTAAACATGTGCGAAATTTTCAGTAGATGCAACCTGTCATTGTCAATTTACATTACATATTTAATAATTCATAAATTATTTACATATTTACAATGAAGTAAAAAATTGCAATGCGGGTTACATTAAGTATTACTATATCACTATATAACTACAAACTCATTATGTCACACTATAGAAACAGATAACAATTATTCTCACTCTGATTTTAAGCGACAAATTAAAATTTTGGCGCATTAATTTTCATATTATTCGGTCCACAAATTATTAGAAATAATATATAGAATAGGGTGTTTAAAGTGTATGTATAAGCTATGTAACTACTATTATTTTTGAAAAGCAACTGTTTTTTTTTCTTCGCATTACCTGATTTATCTCATTATTGTGTGCATATTAAAGCATACTTTTCCAAAAAATAGATCAAGAGATATTTTATATTTTATGTCAAAATGTGTCAGAATAAAGTAACATATCTCATAAACTTATTATTAATTTTCCGATATTTCTACTTTAATACTTTTGTACGCAGAATAGTTAGGGGATTCATATTATGTAAAACAATTTATTTTATTTAAAAGAGTGTTGGCGACGTCCATGTGACCTTTGAAAAACCGATTTTAAAAAGAATTAGTTTTATAAAGTTTATTTGTCCTTTTTGAAATGATACAACTTTCGTCTGAGCATATTTTTTGATGCATATTTTTTGGGATAATAGCTTGTAATACTTTAAATATCCCATCCTGTATAAGATAATTTATATAAAAAAAGATGTAAAGTTGAATAATGTACTAATTCAAATTTGCTTAGTCCTCTCCACGTGTGTTGCGTTATTGACAATCATGGATTGTTGCTTATGTGAAGAGAAATCCATGATGTAGTCCATGGTGTGACATAGACCTTATCTGAGATCTCTAGATGTACAGAGATCTCTTAATACTACTACTTGGAATATTTCTATTTCAAAATTTTATCGACTTATTTGATAAATGGCAAGTTTTTAGTCAATGCTTTTTTTCTACAATAAGAGAAAAAAGTACAAAATTAAAAAAGTTAAATAAATTAAAAAAGTTAATTCCAAGTGGTAACATTAAATAGACTAATTTGTATATGGTTATTCTACAATACATACGCATTTAAAAAGTAATTATCGAATTTAATCATTTTCGTCTAAATAGTTAACATTGTTAAATTTGCTTTGATTCTTTTTAATACAATTGTCTTCACTTTGCCGTTTTTTAACGTTGTTGAAAATTTATTAAATTATCTCTCTAATTCTAAATATACATTATATAATAATTGAGCGATTGTTAATTTATTAATTGTTTAAATTTGAGCATGGCGAATAATGTATCAATATATTCCTATATCGATATAATATTTCTCTCTCTCTCTCTCTCTCTCTCTCTCTCTCTCTCTCTCTCTCTCTCTCTCTCTCTCTCTCGCTCGCTGTAAATAGATATCTATAGATATCTATAGAATTCCTCTGTATATTATATCATATTTCAGAAAATACTGTTACAAAATATGAGAGCAAAATGAAACAATCACAGACATGATTACTAGCAGCATGTCATGTTATTTACTTACAGCAATTAAAGTTTACTTAGAAATAATAAAGCACCATTGGTATGAATATATGCAGTATCCTTATGTTGTAATTTTATAATTCTTATCAGAAAATTCCAAAATTTTTTTTTAGAAATATTTACGCAGATTATTCTTTTTTAAAACTAATTCTTCAAAAATTTTATTCGTTTTTTATTTAGAAAAATAAATACAGAAAAGTAAAGAGTGAAAGATAAATGGAAAAAATGAATATTGCTTGATTCTGACTATGCGATTAAAATTAAGTGATTCTATCCGATTGCATGACTGGAACGATAACAATCAGCTTACAATAAGGAAATAGTTTCGATGTAATAGCAACGTCATATGTCTCTTTCTCTTTTTTCTCTTTATTTTATGAAATCTTATAACTGTAATGCGTTATATGATTTTTTGAAATATATAGTATAATAAATATATATATATATAATCGACGAATTTAAATATTTTGATACAAATAAGATGTATTATTCTCTCATTAAAAATGCAAAATCAAATTTTTTAAAGAATTTCTTTAAAAAGGAAAAATTAAATTTTCTAAGAATTCCTGTAACAAGTAAAATTTCTTTAACAACGATGTAGATAATTTATGTCGTTCAATATGATTAATATTGTATAAGCTATGTTATATAAGCAAGACAATAGTTTGTTTAATATTAAAATGTAGATAGACAAATAACATTGCTATTAAAATTGTGTATTTCTATATTAAATTTATGCTCTTAAATTATGGACTATAAAAGAAACAATTTTGATAAAAATGGTTAATGATTATTGAAAATATGAAATACTGGAAAATGATCAGATACGAATTTCGAAAAATATCTTCTATTAATTATTAACAATTAGATATATCAAAACTATAAAAATAGAAGTATTTATATGAATTAATTTAATTAGAAACTATAGACACATCAAATGATGTGATTTCAGATACCCTGACATCACCATGTATGCGGGCATCTAATAATATATAAAGTATGATAGTATATAAATATAGTAAAATAATATACTTTACTCTATTTGCACATTGTTTCACCAACAACTAATAAGGATAATGACCTGAAAGCTATTGAAGAAATAATGTATTGTCCCTTCTCATTATAGCTCAATCATTATTCCTATAATTACACCATCGTCAGATTCGGATCGCCGGGAGTCAAAAGCGTGCTGTACACGTCTATGTCTTTCACCTTCGGATCAATTTGCTTATCCGTCTGTACCTTTCGTCGCTTTCTTTCCAGTTCCAGCCATTCCGATGATGATTTTTTCGTATGATGAGACAGTATCCTCATAATGCACCAGACAAGCAACACCGCTCCAGAAAGAAACAACAAATACATCGATACTTCCGTCATGATCGGCAAGAAGTTCAGGTAAAACCAAAAACGGATGTTCATGTCTAACGGTAGTTTGTACATTCCCTGAGAAGAAAAGAATATATTTTATTACTTTTTACACATTCAATATAATTTCGCGAAATGAAAAAGAAATCGTTGATGATACAAATCAATATACATAGTCCACTATTGATGCTGCAAAGGCTTTGAGAATTCTTTAATTGGTCAATCAAATACTTCAAAGTATTTGTAGGACTAGAACTGCACCCATAATTAATTGATACGGAAGTAATTAAAGTTATTATTTTGACTTTTAGAAGACAATTTTAGTGAAACATTAAACTAAATCAATTAAATAGTATAATTATTAAATTAAATCAATTAAATTTTGCATCGATATTTTTTTCTATACTTACAATTTCAAACCACAGTAATGGAATTGTCATATGGGGGAATTTTTCCACCATAGCCATGTGTCCGATATTCTGTAGTACCATGTTAATTTGAAATCGGGATGCCAAATTCATGGGTATCCCAGACTTTGGTTGAATGTAGAAATAAGATTCATGTAGTTCCTTTTTGGGTTCTAATCCTTCGACGGCTTCTAGTAAAGATGGATCGCTCTTATAAAAATGCGGATACGACAAGGCGATTGGAAATCCTGTAAAAATAAGAAAAATCTTATTGTTTTATACAGATCTAATTTGAATACGAGAATCTGCCTGTAAATTATCGGATTACACGAAACGTAAAACATCGTCGTTCTTGATTCTTCTAAGATATTTCGTGTCGCTCGAAGTGCAAACAGCTTACTTATTTTATGATGTAGCAAATGAATCGTGACATAATTTTATTATCATGAACGCGTTTGTCACGTTTCATCAACAAAGATGCGTTAAAGAACTTTCCGAATTTGCTTATCGAAGCAAATAGTTCTAAACGTATAAATTATTTTTAATGATATAGCGGTGTCGCTTAGATGCGACTGCTTTTTTTTCCTTCACTCGCGTCCTGAATTGAAATTTGTTGATTTTTATTGCAACATGACCAAAGCAATCGGAATCTCATAACACTTCAATAGAGATAAGTACTGCAAATGTGGCAAATAGCATATAAGCATTTTATGATGCATATCGCGCGCGCGCGAAATTCCATTCTCTTACAAGTCTATCTCTTATAACAGATACTTGACAGTGAAATGACTGAGGCACTAAATAAGTTACATAATAAGAGATAAAGATGTCGTTAACGATATGTACTAATCAATTAAATATGCATTAAATATGCATCAAATGTGCATTAAGTATAATAATTTATTCACACATTAAAGAGAGAAGTTTAATCCAACTTCAATTTGGAACATCTATTATATTAAAGAATAATTTATTGAAATTAACTGGCATACTGATATCTCTTTCTTACCGTAATAACAATCTGTTACATCGATTAAACCAGGCTTTAGACAGAATCCTTTGCGACAGAAGCATTTATTTTCTGGATTCACTGCTCCGTTATCTAATTCGTTCTCCATAAACGTGTATTGATATGTGTCTAAACCTTGTAACACCTTTTCTCCAACTCGTACCTTTGGAAGAAATATTATTATAAAGAAATATTCTTATAAAAAGAAATGTTTTAATTTTTCCATATTTTGAAATAAGATACTATAATTTACATTTTAAAGATTTTATTATTATAATAATATATAAATTTTTTATATAGGGACAAATACAAAATTTATATTATATACTATAAATAAAACCAGTTTTTGATAATAAAGGTTATTTCTGACAATAAAAATATTGAGATAAATTTTTAAATAGCTTCCAAACATTTAATAAAAAAAATAAGTTTAAGTTTAAGTTTAATATTTTAACAGATTTTTAATTTAAAGATCACAGCTGTGAAAAAACAATTCTTAACATTATAAATTAAAGTGCAGAAATAAGAAAAGACATAAAAAGACGAGTCTTTCTTATGGAAAGATTGCCGAGTTGCGTTCGAGGGATAGATCCGTCAATTACATAAGAATAATTTATGAGGATTCTTTATAAGGGAAGAAAGTCAATAATAGAAGAAATAACATTACACGCGAATCACATGACTTGGCAGAAGATTCTTAGTTGAACTGTTTAATCATTTTGTTGTGATGTGATTGCAATGATCAAAATTACCAAGCGTTCACTTCGGCAGAGACTCTTGCGAAAGAAGAGGAGTGTGTCGTTAGGTTCGATGTAGCTCGGAAATTTAACACCGTCGCTCGCGCCTTGCACATTCGCGCATTTACCAGTCCATTGCGGTAAGTTCGTGTCTCCATTATATTTATCGATCAAGCCTGTCGTTCGGATATCTGTCTCTCCCGTGTAAATCGTCTCAAAATCGCCGTCAAAGTCATACATCTGCGAAACATAGCAAACGCAAGATTTTTATTATCACAAGGCTTGCATTCTAGATCGAATTTCATTGTTAGAGCATTATTAAAAAATTAAAATAGAAAACGTCTGCGTTAACAAAATACACAAAATTTGAAAACAAGTATTTATTCGATTGTTATAAATGAATGTGCTTTTATTCGAGTTTTACATATTTGTAACAAAAATGCATGTAATTAAAAATTTTTCGATTATTTCAAGAAAAAACTACTCTAGTTAACTTAGAAAAAATAAATTATTAGAACAAATATTACTTATATATAATCAATTGAACATGGCCGGGGAGACACTACTGCGTCTCCTGATATACCTATGTCATATATTAGATCAGTGCAAAAGTTCAGAAGTTGTTGCTTACCCTATCGATTAATCCCAACTTATCAAACTTAATCCAGGAGGGCATTAAATGATTTCCAAGAGTGACGAGAGTCGATTGGTAACCAAACATGAATTCATGTGCGGTCATTGGAACAATGGGCTTAGTGTTTGTCCGACGGATCAGCATGTTAAGGCCCCACCTGGATAAGTATGAAGCATCTTTCATGACGTTCGTGATGCTCTGCAATTATAGAAAAACATTGCAAAATGTATAATTGGACAAAAATATAATGTAAACTATATTATTTTAATGAAGTAAATATTCTGCTCCATTAAAATAATTTCATTACAATAAGCTGAGATTGAGATTATACATACAATTGCACGATATTTTGTGTACTCATTGCTCGCATGCATTGACATAAGATCAAGTTGTTGACTCCACTTATTATTTTTTTTTCTTTTCTCATCATCTCATTAACGAAGTGAAAAATATAACTTTTGTGTGATTTTAGTGGCAACTTTAAAATGTATAATAAAATGGTATTACGAAAAAAAAATTGTTTGTTGTCTTATGCGTATATATATATATAT